GTGGTGCAAAAGCTGTGGGGAGCTGTCGGGAGCCCTGCTTGCAGCGAGGGGATGGGGCAGGTGAGGAAAGCGGTTGCATGGTGCTTGACCACTGGAAAAAGTGCGGGCTAAACGAAGAGGAGCAGCAGGTTCCTCTGGCACAGGGATCTCCTGGGCAGTGCCACCAAGGGAAGGGTGCAGGGGAAGCCCACGCGGGGGCTAACAGCAGGTGACAAGTCCCAGGGAGGAGGGAGCGCTGTTGCTGCAGCCACCAGTGGGGAGATCTGGCATTGCTCTACATTTTTCTCTAAGTCCTGGGCAGGGAAAACTACTGTCCCCGTGAGAGCAGCCCGAGCTTAGTGCTGCCGCTAAAAATTGTCTCTTCTCTTCCCTGCCGTGACCTGGATCCTGGTGCCTGAAGACTATTCTGTGGGCTTTGGTGGGAAGTTCGGGGTCCAGAGGGATCGCCAGGACAAGAGCGCCCTTGGCTGGGACCATCAGGAGGAGGTGCAGCCCCACGCCTCCCAAACAGGTAGGGTGGTGCTACAGGGGCGGCAGCACCGTTTCCTCGGGGCGCACACAGACCTGGCACCATCCTTGACGGAGATCCAGCTGCCGAAAACCGCATGCGGCACGTTGTGGAGCAGCTGGGACACTGTGAGCCCCACAGCAGCTGCAGGCTGGGGTTGGGGGGGGACAGGGCAGGCTGCCAGGTACACTGTGCTGTCTCTGTGAGGCACGTTCCTGGTCACGAGCGCATTCAGAAGGTGAGCACACGGGAATGAGGCAAAGCGGGACCCAGGAGCGTCTTCACCTCCCTGAACAAGCCCACATTGCACCTGGATGGCGTGACTGGCTCCGCACCCCAGTGCCTTGGCAGCAGGTTTGCCAGCGTGCGGCACTGAACACACCTGTGTGCTTCACCAAGGGGAATGAAGGATTGGTCTTAACAGCTACCGCCCAGAGAATTTTCCCTGTATTTTCTTTATTTAGTTCCATAGCGATAAGATGCAGACAAAGCTAACTCATTTCACAGGATACGGAAGTCAGAGGGGCACACAGAATGTAACATATTATAAAATAGCCTCATTTTTTCCATACAGACTATGCCAAGGGGTTTGGAGGCCGTTACGGCGTGCAGAAGGACAGAGTGGACAAGGTAAGATTCCAGCCTGCACTGCTGGTCGGGGCTCTTTGCGCTGCGGCAGGAGCAGAGGCTTCTCGGGGGGGGGACGGGGTCCCACGGCGCAGTGCACAGCTGGACACAGCTGCAAATCCCAGGGCAGGCAGAGGAATGCAGCCTGGGGAGACCGTGATGCGAGGAAAAACAGGTTTATCCATTCTCGGCTGGTTTTGAATCATTTTGGACTGAACAGCCACACACCTGCTTTCTCTTGGGGGGGATTTAATAGCAGAGCCGGTGCACAGCTCTCTAAGGGCGTCCGGCTGTGCCCTGCTGGGTGTCTGGAACCAGCTGAGATACTGGGAGTGTCTGTTGGCTGCTTGCCGTCACTCCTGCCAGCCCTGTCTGTACCTTGCAGCCCCTCCGCTTGGCTCCCCGTGGCCTCTCCAGCCCTCGGAGCCCCTCTCACGGGAACAGCCCTTGCCTCTGGCCGGGGGCAGCGGGCACTGCCGCGGCGCAGGGAGGCACCCCGTGAGCAGGGCTGCAGCCAGCCATCCGCACAGGGACATGGCCGTGGGGCCGATGGGGACAGACACAGCTGGGAGCAGACCTTGCTGTCACCAGCAGCCAGACGGAGCAGGGGGGCTCAGCGCTGGCCTTCCCTAACAAGCTGGACACTTCATTCCCTTCCTCTCGCAGAGTGCTGCTGGCTTTGACGCGATGGCGGCTCCCACCTCCTCCTACGAGAAAACAAGACTCCTGGAGGCAGGTGAGGCAGCGGAGACCAGCCCAGGGCTGGTGGGACCTGTGGCAGCAGGCTGGCAGGCGTGTGCTGTGGTCAGGCGTGGATTGAACCCATGCTGACGGGCAGGAGACGTGGCTGAGCTGGGAGAGGCGGAGGGCTGGGTCTCTGCTGGGCACCAGCGGTGGTGCAGGGGGCTGTTGGGCTGGCCGGATCTGCGTCCTCTCCGCAGGGGCTTCCAGTGGCACCAGCAGCCTGCGGTCGCGGTTTGAGAACATGTCCAAGTCGGCCGAGGAGGAGAGCAGAAGGCAGGCGGAGCAGGAGCGGGCAAGGCGGCAGGCTCGGGAGCACCAGGCAGCTCG